CTAACATCATCAATACCAGATACCCATCAATGCCAGCTAACATCATCAATACCAGCTAACAACATCACACCCTCGCCAAAGAGAAGCAGTTCCAACCATCACATTAGGGGCGAGTTAATTAAATGCTTGACCAATATAACGGGCTAATTTTTAAGTTGATAATTTTGTATGGCCCGCGAATGATGTTATAAATATCCAAATGGCCTTTGGCAGAAACAAGGTTCCCCACCCCTGATCTCGAACACCACCAGCGTTATCGCTATAGCAACTACCACTCACTACCACCAAACAAAGACAAAGATCCCCCGTATAGCCTCCAATGGACTATCTGGGCAAGTGCTGTTAGCAAGCGCCTATGAATGCCAAGCCCGGTAACGAGAGGTGGGTGGACAACACCACGCCCGGCCGCCTTTGTCTTTCCAGTGGTGATGTTTACACACCGCACCAGGTACTCATTTGAGGTTGAGTCGACCTAAGGGACTCCCAGGACCGGTAATCGTCACTGTGTGTTGGCCGTGAGCGGGAATCGAACTCGGGTCGCCGGGTTCGTAGCGCACCGTGTGCTCGCTGCTGCACCACCGCTCCCCACAGTGCTCGATGTTTACTGGATGTGGTGTTCCGGGCAGCGGAATATTTTTTCCTGGCGCCATGGTGGCGAGGAGATGTTAACTGCCTGGCCTGGCATACAGGAGGTCATGGGTTCGATCCCGACCCTGACACTTGCTGCTGTATATTTGGAGTTTGCGTGTCTTTCTCTCCGTGGTGAGATGTTAACTACCTCGCCTGGTATACAGGAGGTCGTGGGTTCGATCCCGACCTGACGCCTGCTGCTGTATATTGGAGTTTGCGTGTCTTTCTCTCCGTGGTGAAATGTTAACTACCTCGCCTGGTATTCAGGAGGTCGTGGGTTCGATCCGGCCCTGACGCCTGCTGCTGTATATTTGGAGTTTGCGTGCCTTTCTCCCTCTCCCCGTGGTGAGATGTTAACTACCTCGCCTGGTGTACAGGAGGTCGTGGGTTCGATCATGACCCTGACACCTGCTGCTGTATATTTGGAGTTTGCGTCTCTCTCTCTCTCTCCCCGTGGAGATGTTAACTCTCTTGCCTGGTGTACAGGAGGTCGTGGGTTCGATCCCGACCCTGACACCTGCTGCTGTATATTTGGAGTTTGCGTGTCTCTCTCTCTCTCTCGCTTTCTCTCCCTCCCCGTGGTCAAGTGGAATTTTCTCCGGGTCCTCCAATGTTTCCCGCCATCATTGAGGTGTTTCCCTCCACATTTAGACTCGACAACGTGACGCGTTTAGAGAGTATTTGGCTGCTGTCAATTTCCACGTAATGATGAACCACTTAGATGGGCCATCATTCATAATATCCAGGTCGCTTCTGAACAAAAGAGATATTTGTAGCTCAGTGTAAATAAAATCACGAATACAAGTTAAATTACAAAAACAAGTTCAATAATAATAATCACAAGTAAAATATCTTCTTGTTTCTTTCGGTAAAGTCACGTAGAAGGGAAGTAATAAAACAATAAAAATAAACATAATAACATAATATAATAATATAGTGAGAATCATTTTATTATGTTTTATTTGTATTATTTTATTACTTCCCTTCTACGTGACTTTACCGAAAGAACCAAGAAGATGAATCCCTGCAGTCACGACAAATAAAATACTAATACATTTAAGTAAAATAATAAATTTCCACACGATGATGATGATAATATACTTCGTTGAGCTAACATTCGTGATGCCCAGATCGCTTCTGAAAACGAGGTAAGGGGGCAGGGGGGGGGGCTTTACCTGGTAAAATAAAATAAACATTGGTTCATAGTTTCCAGGTCGCTGGTTGACCAAATTCGGTAGCACGTCAAGTGGCTTAAGTCGCCAAAGCCACGATCCATAGCAAGAGGGGGAATACTCGATGTGGCATGCCGAGTTGCGGTGATGTTTTTTGCTTATCTTGTCGGGGTTAGACTTTGTCTACTCGACAGACCTGCTCTCCACCTGAGGACGGCTGCTTGCGTTGTAGCCGAAACGTCGTGAGAATTATTTTATTATGTTTTATTTTTATTATTTTATTACTTCCCTTCTACGTGACTTTACCGAAAGAACCAAGAAGATGAATCCCTGCAGTCACGAAAGCTTTAAATCAAAATTTAGGATGGGGGTGTTTAATTTTTATTATTTTATTATTTCCATTCTACGTGACTTTACTGAAAGAACCAAGAAGATGAATCCCTGCTGCAGTCACGAAAGCTTTAAATCGAAATTGTCGGGGTTACTGAACCACGGCTGACTTGAATTCCGTTCGTGTCGATTCGTCGCGTCTCCCCGCGGTCGCCCGCGGGGGTCGCTTGTTTTTTGTTGTTGTGTGTGTCGTGGCGGCTTGGATGGATTGGTCCGGCCCATAGGAATGTGGAATGTCCTGCTTAAAAAAGACGGCGGGCGCCCAAGGCTCGCTCGAAGCGTCGAGGTGCGCCGAGTCGGCGAATTCTGTTCAGTGCCGGGGCAGGCAGCTGAGTGGCGAGCGTTCGTATCCGGTCCACGTGTCCCCTTCATAACAATAACACCCATAACGCAGCGTTTGTTTGGGGGGGTGCGGTAAAGGAGATTAGATCGCGTAAATATATAAATGTGTCGTTAAACCCGCCACCACCCGACACAGCCAACTAGTAAGGATTTGTCGCGTGAACAGAACGCGGCCAATTCGTTACTAGCAGAGCACTGAGCGGTTGTGTGTTGGGGAGTGTTGTGTGTTGGAGAGTGTTGTGTTGGGGAGTGTTGTGTGTTGGAGAGTGTTGTGTGTTGGAGAGTGTTGTGTGTTGGAGAGTGTTGCGTGTTGGAGAGTGTTGCGTGTTGGAGAGTGTTGCGTGTTGGAGAGTGTTGTGTGTTGGAGAGTGTTGTGTGTTGGAGAGTGTTGGTGTTGGAGAGTGTTGCGTGTTGGAGAGTGTTGCGTGTTGGAGAGTGTTGTGTGTTGGAGAGTGTTGTGTGTTGGAGAGTGTTGTGTGTTGGAGAGGTGTTGTGTGTTGGAGAGTGTTGTGTGTTGGAGAGTGTTGTGTGTTGAGAGTGTTGCGTGTTGGAGAGTGTTGTGTGTTGGAGAGTGTTGTGTGTTGGAGAGTGTTGCGTGTTGGAGAGTGTTGCGTGTTGGAGAGTGTTGTGTGTTGGAGAGTGTTGCGTGTTGGAGAGTGTTGCGTGTTGGAGAGTGTTGCGTGTTGGAGAGTGTTGCGTGTTGGAGAGTGTTGCGTGTTGGAGAGTGTTGCGTGTTGGAGAGTTTTGTGTGTTGGAGAGTGTTGTGTGTTGGAGAGTGTTGCGTGTTGGAGAGTGTTGCGTGTTGGAGAGTGTTGCGTGTTGGAGAGTGTTGCGTGTTGGAGAGTTTTGTGTGTTGGAGAGTGTTGTGTGTTGGAGAGTGTTGCGTGTTGGAGAGGGTTGCGTGTTGGAGAGTGTTGCGTGTTGGAGAGTGTTGCGTGTTGGGGAGTGTTGCGTGTTGGGGAGTGTTGTGTGTTGGAGAGTGTTGTGTGTTGGAGAGTGTTGTGTGTTGGAGAGTGTTGTGTGTTGGAGAGTGTTGTGTGTTGGAGAGTGTTGTGTGTTGGAGAGTGTTGTGTGTTGGAGAGTGTTGCGTGTTGGAGAGTGTTGCGTGTTGGGGAGTGTTGCGTGTTGGAGAGTGTTGCGTGTTGGGGAGTGTTGCGTGTTGGAGAGTGTTGCGTGTTGGAGAGTGCTGCGTGTTGGAGAGTGTTGCGTGTTGGAGAGTGTTGTGTGTTGGAGAGTGTTTTGTTGTAAATGTTGTCGTGGATTCACTCTCCAACACACAGCCGGTTAGTGCTGTACTAGTAACGAATTTGCCGCGCGCTGTTCACGCGACAAACCCCTTACTAGTTGGCTGTGTCGGGTGGTGGCGGGTTTAACGACACATTTATATATTTACGCGATCTCACCACCCCCCCCCCCACCCCAAAAAAACCCCTCTATTATTGGTGATATTGGTCGCGAAAGTCTCCTGCCGCCACGTGTTGAACACGAACAGCATCGCCCACGACATCGTGCCACTGCCGTGCCCGATACGCGTACACATGAAGCGGGCCGATGGGAACACCGCAGTGTAGGGGGTGCAGGGGGGGGGGGCAAGGCGGTGGTGGTGGTGGTGGCAGCGTGGTGGTGGTGGTGGTGGCAGCGTGGTGGTGGTGGCAGCGTGGTGGTGGTGGCAGCGTGGTGGTGGTGGTGGTGGCAGCGTGGTGGTGGTGGTGGCAGCGTGGTGGCGTGGTGGTGGTGGTGGTGGCAGCGTGGTGGTAGTGGCAGCGTGGTGGTGGTGGCAGCGTGGTGGTGGTGGCAGCGTGGTGGTGGTGGCAGCGGTGGTGGTGGCAGCGTGGTGGTGGTGGTGGCAGCGTGGTGGTGGTGGTGGCAGCGTGGTGGTGGTGGCAGCGTGGTGGTGGTGTGGCAGCGTGGTGGTGGTGGTGGTGGCAGCGTGGTGGTGGTGCCGTGGTGGTGGTGGTGGCAGCGTGGTGTGGTGGTGGCAGCGTGGTGGTGGGTGGCAGCGTGGTGGTGGTTGGTGGCAGCGTGGTGGTGGTGGTGGCAGCGTGGTGGTGGTGGTGGCAGCGTGGTGGTGGTGGTGGCAGCGTGGTGGTGGTGGCAGCGTGGTGGTGGTGGTGGTGGTGGCAGCGTGGTGGTGGTGGTGGTGGCAGCGTGGTGGTGGTGGTGGTGGCAGCGTGGTGGTGTAGCACCACGGCAAGAAGAGATGTCTTGAGTGCATTCCCGACTCGGGAGCTTATCTACTACGCGTGCGGAGTTCGTATGTCATTCACTCCCACCCCTCTAGTCCTGCAGAGTGTGTGAGAGAGAGTGAGTGAGTTACATTCAGAAATCACCACTCGGTGCTCGCTTATAGCACTTGCCCCAACAGTCTGTTGAGGCTATACGGGGGACCTTTGTCTTTGAGTGTATGTGTGTGTGTGGGGAGCGGTGGTGTAGCGGTTAGCGCGCTGCGCTACGAACCTGGCGATTCCAGTTTGATTCGAGCTCACGGCCAACACCAGTGACGATTATCCGAACCGGTCTTGCGCCTCCCCTAGGTCGACTCAGCCTCAAATGAGTACCCGGTGCGGTGTGTAAGCATCGCCACTCGGGAGGCGCGGTGCTGGCCACCCACCCCCTCGTGTGCCGTGCCTTCATAGATGATCGCTAACAGCACTTGCCCCAAAAAGTACGTGAAGGCTATACGGGGGATATTTGTCTCGTGAGAAGGGGAGCAGTGGCGCAGTGGTTAGCGCACCGCGTTTCTAACCAGGCGGTGACACATTTCTGAACCGGTCATGGGACCTCCCCTAAGTCGACTCAACCTTAAATGAGGTTCGTGGGTTCGATCCCGGACCCAGATGGCCTGCTGTATAATTGGAGTCTGCGTCTCTCTGTCTCTCTCTCTCTCCCGTGGTCGCGTGGATTTTCCCTCTGCGTTTGGAGGGTTTGTCTGCTGCTGTAATTGTCTTACGCGGTGATGATGATTATGATAAGCCAATTCGTTGAGCTATCATTTGTGATCGCCAGGTCGGCTTCTATATTACTCAGCGGGGCCTTGCCTGGTCAAATTACTCAAAGAGTTTATTGGAAAGCGTTATAACGAATCGGCGTTGTAACGGGGTTCGCGCTAAGCGAGG